CGGCCTGGGCCTGCTAAAAAAGTAGGGAAACACAGTCTTACAGAATTAACAGCACAATAGATCAGATCACTAAATGTATAAAGTGTTAGATAATAACAGTAATAATAAATTTTTATAGATACCAGGCAACATTAAAGAAGTGTATCAGTCTAGTATAATTTATATGACTTGATACATTTCTTCTGATCAATGGGCAATATTATTATCTTCTGGATGTTGTACTTATACTTGTTCTGAGCATTCTTTTTGAATAGAATATCAATAACGGAGAAATTGTAGTCTTTCTCTTACGTCTGTTCTGAAAACTGATACCAAACCAATTCCCCTCATTAGCACTGCAAATACTGAACTACGTATATCCATTTCAGTGTTTACCACAGTTGATGGTGAAAGTATATGTATATATATACTAGATAAACACACACACTAGTGTTTATATGTCTGTAAATATAAAGCTAGATCAATGAAAGTGATTTTAATTCAGAATTTACAAATGAATATTATTTCTTTCAAAATGTTCACCTTGGTAAAATCTTTCCCCAGGTTATATCTTCAAGTGTTTTCCCTACACTTTCTTCAAGGATTTTGATTGTTTCATGCCTCAGGTTTAAATCTTTTATCCACCTTGAGTCAATTTTTGTAAATGGTGAGAGGTGCAGGTCCAGTTTCAGTCTTTTACATGTGGTTATCCAGTTTTCCCAACACCATTTATGGAATAGGGATTCTTTTCCCAGTGTATGTTCTTGTTTGGTTTATCAAAGTTCAGGGGGCTGTAAGATGTTAGTTTCATCCCATGGTTTTCTATTTGGTTCCAAATGTCAATGTCTCTATTTTTGTGCCAATATCATGCTGTTTTGATCACGATGGCCTTATAGTATAGCCAAAAGTCTGGTAGGGTGATACCCCCGGCTTCGTTTTTATTACTAAGAATTGCCTTGGCTATACAGAGTTTCTTCTAGTTCCATACAAAACGAAGAATTATTTTTTACAAATCTTGAATGGAGATTGCATTGAATCTGTAAGACTTCCATGGTAATTGCAACAACAACAAAAATAAACGAATGGGACTTAATTAAACTGAAAAGCTTCTGTACAGCTAAGGAAACAACAACCAAAGCAAACAAACGAGTTTCAGAATGGGAAAAGATATTTGCATATTATGAATCAAGACAAAAACTTGATAACTAGGATCTATAGAGAACTCAAATTAATCAACAGAAAAAGACCTAACAATCCCATATATCACTGGGCAAGAGAGATGAATAGAACCTTCTCTAAAGAAAACAGATGAATGACTAACAAACATGAAAAAAATGCTCATAATCACTAATCATCAGAGAAATGCAAATCAAAACCACCCTGAGATATCGCCTAAACCCAGTAGGAATGGCCCATATCACAAAGATTCAAAGCTGCAGATGCTGGTGTGGATGTGGAAAGAAGGGAACACTTTTACACTGCTGGCGGGACTGCAAACTAATATAATCTTTTTGGAAGGAAGTATGGAGAATCCTCAAAGAACTCAGATTAGACCTCCCATTTGACCCTGCAATCCCATTACTGAGCATCTACCTAGAAGAAAAAAATCTTTTTATCATAAGGACATTTGCATGAGACTGTTTATTGCAGCTCAATTTACAATTGCCAAAATGTGGAAACAGCCTAAATGCTCACCAACCCAGGAATGGATTGACAAGCTGTGGTATGTGTATACCATGGAATGCTACTCAGCCACTAAAAAATATGGAGACTTTACATCTTTTGTATTAACCTGGATGGAGGTGGAACACATTCTTCTTAGTAAAGCTTCACAAGAATGGAGAAGCAAGAATTCAATGTACTCAACTCTAACATCAAGGCAGTAGATGAGCTAATACAATGGTAGGTAGGGGACTGAGCAAGTGGGAGGGGGGCTGGAGGGTCACAGTGTATGGCACATCTCTTGGGAGGCTAGACACATTTATAAGAGGGACTTTATCTAACAAATGCAATCAGTGTAACCTAATTTTTTGTATCTTCCTTGAACCCAAACAATTAAAAAAAGTTCACCTTGGGTACCACATGTTCTCCAGTTATGCTAGAGTCATTGTAACAGAATGTTAGCATTACAGGAGGCTTTAGAGATTATTGGGCTAATCTTCCCACTGTACACATGTGGAAGCTGAGAGGTGACATTTCTGCAGTTATTCAGTTACAGGATAGAAATTGTCTTATTCAGTCAAGCTTTTTCCAATTAAGATGTGTTATAAAATATTTTCAAGAGTCCCTTAAGAAAGTTGCCATATATTTTAACATGTACATTACAGAACACCCATGAACTTTGATTTGTATTCATAGCTTTAAAGTCAAATGCACACATATCCTATTTTGAGTTAACTAGAGCTTTCCAACCAAAATGGAGCCACTGCCTAAGAGGTTTATAAATGTGACCAAGATGGTGATCTTACTTTCCTGTTATGGCCTAAGTACCTAAACTGGCCACCTCTAAGTGAGAAGCTTCATCCATTTACCTCTATGCCTTACAAAAATTGCCATTTCCTATATTTGCCATGAAATGGAAAGGTTGGAAGCACTGGTTTAAACTAATTCTCACCATTGCTCTTTATCCTGACCCTGTCCTTGTATGTGTGAACCAATAAAGTAAACCACACATTTTATCATTAGTCTAAGGCTACCGTAGCAATGTAAGAATACCTGGTACTTGTTTTTGTTGCTTGAGCAAAAATATATCCTAGGATTCATTTAGAAAGTATGTTTTTAGTAAATCAAAAGTCAGTGGAGGAGGGGAGTTCCCTCTGAGTTGACTTCTAAGAACAATGAACACAGTAGAACCTCCATAGTTGACCACCTGCCTACAATGACCACCTCCTTCAGTTGACCTAATTTTCATAGACTAGACATGCACCACATGTCGTATCAGCACAGCAGGCCTAGTTCCTTATGTTGACCACCTCTGTATGTTAACTAGTGAAAGAGCTAAGGAAATTTTACTTCAAAATATGACTACTTCACATAAAGAATATTTTGAATTAAAGGCCGTTCACAATCAGAAAGCATTGGAAAGGACTTTCCTTCTACCTAGGTAAAACTAGACTGACCTGATCAGGGGATTAAAGGGGGCAACTGACTTCCTTTCCCCCTCTTGAATGCTAGCACTCCTGGCCCAAAATCATTTAAAACACAATACCTGGGTGGCACCTGTGGCTCAAAGGGGTAGGGCACCGGCCCCATATGCCAGAAGTGGTGAGTTCAGACCTAGCTCCGGGCAAGAACTGCATTTAAAAAAAAACACACAATACCTATCTCTCAGGCTAATTTACAAGTTAATCTGTTTACAAGTTATTTATTTTCCCTACAAACCTCTCGCTGGACCCACACTCCACATTCTGCCCCCTCCTTTCAAAAAAGGCATCTATAAAGGTATCTGACCATCAGTGAGACATTGCATAATCATTCTTGTGGTTCCCCCATGCACGTGGTGTTTGGAAATAAACCTTTCTCTTACTAATCTGCTATAATTGTCAATTGATCTTTCAGTGAACCAACCAAGGGAGTAGGGCAAGTTTCGCTGTGATCCCTACACCAGTTTGTTACGGTCCTTTGGGTGGTCAGCTTACAGAGGCTCTACTCTAGATGAAAATCAATGCAATTATTTTCACCACAGTGAAAAACAATACACTCTTCAGTATGAAAACCACAATATATGTTATACATAGTTCAGTTGAGATGGTTGACAAAGTTCTAAGATGACCTCTGGCATCCACGCCTTTATGTAATCCTTGCCCCTTGAGGAGGGGCAGAACCTGTAACTTGCTCTGACTGAAAGAGTATAGCCACAGTGATGGAACGTCACTGCACACTCATGCTAGGTGATATGGCAAAAGTGAAGAGATTTTGCAGATGTAATTCAGGCAGTTAATTTTAAGTTAGTCAAAAGGGCCACTATCCTGGAGGGCCTGACCTAATCAGATGAGCCCTTAAAAGAGGGTAGTCAGAGAAACAACTCCTTCCTTCTGCTGCTGAAGAGGCAGGCTGACCTCACTTCCACGTCCACATCAATGAATTCTTCCGGTAAGCTGAGGGTGCTCAGCGGCAGATCCTTCCCTGGGTACACCTCCAGATAAGAAAACAGCCCAGTTCCTATTTCAATTTCTGACTGGTAGGTAATTGCTCCAGAAAAGCCCCTTCTCCAGAAAGCCCCTTCCTGCTTTCTCTTAAAGTTACAGCTCCTCTAAACAACAAGGAGTGGCCCACTTATCTCATCTCCCTGTCCCAATTACCCGCTGAAAATTTCAAACTTATGGCCCCTAACGGCTCTTCATTGGCTATCCCACCATCCCCTCACCCTTCTGAGACTTCCCTATGTAAGGGTACGCTTCTCTTTTCTCTCTCTCGTCCTCTCTTTTCTCCTCCGCTCTCTCCTCATCTCTCTCTTCCTCTTCACTCTCCTCCTTCCCTCTCTCTCTCTCTTCTCCTCCGCTCTCTCTCCTCCTCACTCTCCTCTTCACTGTCCTCTTTTTCTGTCCTCTTTTCTCTCCCCTTTTCTCTTCTCTTTTTCTCTTCTCCTTGGTGCTGCTCTGCAGCCTCCCTCCCCCACCAATAAAGACCTTTCTTACAAGCCTTGGTTCTGTGAGATCTCTGCCAGTCGAGTGCCGCCCTCTCACTGACCCATGAAACCCTAGCAGAGAACCCAGCTAAGTCATAACAGACCACAGTAACTGTGAGACTGGCAAATATGTGTTGTTTTAGACCATTCTGTTCGTAATGTCTCTTATACAGCAGTATATGACCAAAACACTTAGATATTAAAAAGTAGGGATTATGTTGCAATGAGCTGTGATGATGGCAGTGCATTCTAGCCAAGGAGACAGAGACTCTATCTTATTAAAAAAAAAAAAAAAAAAAAAGGTAGGGCTCATGAACGTAGGAGGCAAGAGCCTGCGGATTTGCAGCCCAGAGCTCACATACGTCTCCGTGCTCACCTGTGTCCCCAAGCTCACCAGCGCCTCCGTGCTCATGGGCTCCTCCGGCAGGGGCAGCAGGGGTTTCTCTCCGGACAGCTGCTCCACAAGCCTCTCCTGGGCAGCCAGGCTCTGACTCAGTTCTTCAATTCTCCTGAAGGAAAGAAAAAGTGAGCCAATGACAGTCATAATGTTATTAATTTTTTAGGCCACTCCAAAGATAGTATGGTCTAGTGCATCTGGTTTTTACTCTTTTAGGTCATTGAAACCCTTTGATCTTTTCTTCAGAAAGCCATGTATTTTCTGCCTCAACCTGATATGTGTGAAAGCCATGTATTTTCTGATATGTAAGAAAGCCATGTATTTTCTGCCTGATACGTACACAAACAACTTTTTGCTTATATTTTCACCAGGTTCATGGACCTCCTGAAGCCTATCAATAGACCAATGATCAATAGACCATAGATATGTGACAGCTGGAATGAGGACCCAAAAGTTGGTCTTTCTTTTACTCTTTTACAGCAGTGGCTATTGTTCCATTCAAGAAACAGTCCTTGGATAAGCATTGCTTGTACTCAATGCATTCTACCAACTACTCGGACTATGAAGTTGGAAAAGGAACCATCTCCTTTGTGTAGAAGCTTGAATCCCTGTGGTGCTGCTAGCCATCTGGAGAGTGAGAAGAGACTCAGCTACCCTCATGCACTGAAAATTTTGGTTTGGTCAACAACAGCCTGCATATAGGACAGAGATCCCACAAAATGACAGCAGAGCTGAAAAGTTCCTATCACATAACGATGTCCCAGCTGTTAGAATGTCATAGGACAATGCATTTACTCATGTGTTTGTGGTGATGCTTGTATAAACACAGTCGCTGCCAACTTACAGTGCTGCCAACTGCATAAAAGTGTAGCACATACAATTACATAGGGTGCATTGTAGTTATAATATTAAGTAATTATATTACTAGTTTATGTATTTACTATCCTATACTTTTTATTGTTTTAGAGTACACTCCTTCTACTTATACATACTTCAAAAGCTTACTGTAAAATGGCTTCAGACAGATCCTTCAAGAGGTATTACAGAAATGGTCATCGTTAACCATAGGAGGGGACACTCCACACGTGTTATTGCAACTACAAACCTTATACCTGGGCAAGAGGTAAAGGTGGAAGATGGTGATATGGGTGATCCTGAGCCTTCGTAGGCCTAGACTAATGTCTGTATTAGTGTCTTAGCTTTTAACAGAAAAGTTTAAAAATCAAAACATGTAAAAAACAAATAAGTTTAGAGAATAAGGACACAAAGAAAAATTATTCATGTGGTTCAATGTGTTCAATTTTAAGCTAGGTGTTACAAAAGAGTCAAAAGTTTAAAAAGTTTAAAATTTTATAGAGTAAAAAAGTTACAGTAAGCTAAGGTTAATGTATTACTGAAGAAAGAAATAATGTTTTATAAATTTACTGTAGCCTAAGTATACAGTGTTTATGAAATCTACACTAGTGTACAGTAACTCACTGACTCATCCACAGCAACTTCTAGTCCTACAAGCTCCATTCATGGTAAATGCCTGTTGGTGTCCTTTTTAAAATCTTTTTTAAATTTTTACTGTACTTTTTCTACATTTAAATATGTTTATATGCACAAATAGCTACATGGTGTCAAAATTTCCCACAGTATTCGATACAGTAACATGCTGTTTGTACACATTTGCAGCCCTGGAGTCATAGGCTATAGTCTGCAGCCAGGTGTGAAATGGGCTGTACCATCTAGGTTAAGTAAGCACACTCTGTGATGTTCACACAACCATGAAATCACCTAATGACACATTTCTTAGAACATATCTCTGTCGTTAAGTGACATATGACTGTTTATAAACAAATACCAGCAACAGAATGTAATAAGAGCTACCATGATAGAGGTGCCCTACAGTACACTGAGTGTCCTATAGGAAGAAAGAAAAAGAAGGGATTCATTTGACTTGGAAGAGTCTGGGGAAGCGCTGGAGAAAATATGTGGAAAACTGGGTTGTTTTTCAAGCTTGGAGGGAGGAGACTCACTAAAGACATAAAGGTGCAATGTATATTTGGGGAAGAGTCTATGGAACAAAGGGTGGGGGAAGAGTCAGTGGCTGGAGAAGAAACTGGAAATCCAGTCTAGGATTACGTTGTGAAGGAAATCCTTGTCCTGTGCTGAAGTATACAAGCTACAAGTTCAAATGAGCAGATATGGATCCTCTACCATGTGCAAAGCACACCTCGCTGTTTCTCTCTGAGTGTTACAGTGCTAAAGATACCTTCCAGGTCCTTGAAAATGTGCTGGGTACCAGATGAAATGTTTCAATTGCAATTATTATTCCTGTGTAAGTGTATAAAACAACGACAGCACCTTGGGAGGAAAACAGTTTGGCAGAAAGGTGAGGGACCCCAGAAAGTAAAGTAGAAATCTCATAAATTCACTTAGGGTATGAGGATCAACTAACATTGGAGGCAAGAAAGAACTTCAAAAACTTAAAAACATTATGCGAATGTAAGCGGTAATGACAAGGCTGACGAAGATTGTGGCTCTACATGAGAGCGCCTCTGGTACCTACACTGGAACATCTCTGCTTTTCTCCAGCCTCAAACCTGACGCATCCCCTCACCTCTCAGTCCCTAGAGATGACCTAGTTATTCCCCTACTTGCCTAGTTGTTCAAGGTCAATTGATAGGAACTACCTTGATGTGCTTGTCAGGTGCATGCCCGTGTTTTCTTGGGGTTTTGTATGGTCTGTAGTTTAGTAAGTATTCACTAGGATACAGAGCTGAGGCAGAGGCTCAGGAAGCCCAGTTGGGAAAGTCTGAAAGCAAATGAAGCATGATGGCATTGAGCACTGTGCAGTGTGGAAGTGTACGGAAAATAACCAACGGCACAGAGACTTCATTCTGCTGCCACAAAACGCCTCCACAGAAGTGATGGTTCATGCCTTGGCGATGTTTGAAGAATGAACAAGTCACCAGAAGGGGAGACACTCTGCCCAGAAGGAAGAGGATGGGCAAGATTCTGAAGACCTTACCTCGCTTCATACGTGTCTGGGCAGTGTGGATTCAGGGTCAGTTTCAGCAGTGCCTGAAACCAGGTTATACCATGTATGACGCTCCAACTGCCAGATTCTTCATCAATAAAATACAATAATTCCCATCTCATGGGGTTGTTAAAGAAGAATGTGAAGCACTCAGCTATATGGTGAGAGCTCAGCAAAACTTAGCCGTCGTTACCATTACCAGTCTGGCGTGAGGGGAGCACGTGGAGTCGTGGGGGAGACAAACCTGGGGGAAATCAGACCTTGCACATCATGGGCGGCATGTGAGGGAATGTGGATCTCCTGTCCTGAAGGTGTGGGAAAGCTTTTCAGATGGGTCTGTAGTGACATGGTCAAATTTGGGTTCCAGAAAGAATCAGTGTATGTACATGTTTTTTGCCTATTCAAGTTAAAAGCTCCGTAAGGCTTTTTATGCCACAGTAGTATCATGTACCTAAGAGGGTAAATTATTTGCCAATTTGATATTGTTGAATTCTCAACTTCAAAACTGCTCTGAATCGTTAAATTAAGATCAAATAAGTAGGCCAGAGCTGGAAATAGAACAGTTGGGAAGTTGCCACAGTAACCCAGACAGTAGATAGTGGTGACTTCAACAACTGCCCAGGTACCTTCAGGACAAAATCTAAGTTCCTTATTATAACATACAGAGCTGGCCCCAGCACAATGGCCTGCAGTCCCAGCTGCTTTGGCAGCTGAGGCAGGAGCATCACTTGAGCCTAGGAGTTCAGTGTTGCAGTAAGCTATAACTGTGCTACTACACTCCAGCCTGGGTGACACAATGAGATCCTATCTCAAAAAATAACATAAAATAAATAAAAGTTAATTGATTCATTAGTTAATAATATACAAAGCTGGCACAATCAGACCCCTACTCCCAAAAGGGCTTACCTCTTACTCATCTTCCCCAGACCCTGTGCTCTGGTTATACAGATCTATTTGTAGCTCTAGAAACATTCCCTTCCCTGTGTCTTCCCTCCATGGTTTCTCCTCCTGCACAGAACAATTCCCTTCCCCTGCCCTTTCTGGCTGATTTCTCCTAACTCCTTTTCATTCTCCAAATTCAGCTCATATTTCACCTTCTCCAGAAAACCTTCAGTAGCACAGTCTTAGCCCATCTGGGCTGCTATTATAAAATGCTTTAAATACGGTAGCTTTTTTTTTTTTTTTAATATTCTGGAGTCCAGGGAGTCCAAGATCAAGGCACTGACAGATCTGATGTCTGGTGAAGGCCCATCTCTGGTTCATAAATGGTGTTTTCTCACTGTACCCTCACATGGTAGAAAGGGTTAACTAGTTCTCTGGGGTCTCTGTTATAACAGTATTAACCCCACACATGAGGGATCTGTCTTCATGAGGTAATCACCTCCCAAAGGTCCCACCTTCTAATACCACCTCCTCGGGAGCTAAGATTTTAACATATAAGTTGGGGAAGAGAAACACTAACATTCAAACCATAGCAGGCCCTTTGCTCTTTTAGTCTGGAATAGATGACCATCAAATATGTCACCCGAGCATCCCAGGCTCCTTCTATCAGAGAACTTACTAAAATCACATCACATTTCTTTGTGGCAGGAGCTGAGTATTTCATTGCTGTCATTCTAGTGCTTCGCCCCTTGTGTGGCAAGTAACAGGTGTTCAGGACACGTTTGCTGAATAAGCAAATCCAGGTCTCCTACTCACCATCATTGGTCCTCTTCATCGTTCTACTTATACCTAGTTAGGCTCCCAATTGTCAAGGAGTGAGGTTGTTTGTGTTTTGTTTCATTTTCTTGTTTGTTTGGTTTTTAGTAGAGATGAAGTTTTATTATGTTACTCAGGCTGGTCTCAAACATCTGGTCTCAAATGATCCTCCCATCTTGGCCTCCCAAAGTGCTGGGATCACAAGTATGAGCCACCACACCTGGCGTGGAGGTAAGTATTCTTAAGGATACCGTTAAAGATGCAGCCCTAAAAAGAAAGCTGTTGGATGTGGGACCATAAAGTCTTGGAAATAGTGATGGTTCCAAGGTCAGCCCTCAGGGCACCGAGAACCACGGTAGCTGCTGTGTGCTCCCCTGGCCTCAAGCAGGGGCGAAAAGTAAGTGACGAAAAGAGCACATACTTGTCCCTCTGGGCCAGGGCCTCCGAGTGCTGGTCAGGCTTGGCCTGGTCTCCTGGTGCATCTTCCCTGTCCCTGGTGGCTCCCCTCAGTCTCGCTGTGAGCTCCAGGTTCCGCTCCTGCTCGGCTTCCACCAGGGCAGACATCCGGGCGACTTCATTCTTCGCTAGCCTGGTTTCCTGCAAGAAGAATGAAAACTGAGAGGCTGCAAAGTCCCCAGCCCAGGTGCGGAGCCCTAAGACACAGAGACACCTGACGACGCTGGGATGGAAAGGTGAGGGAGAAGGGTCAATGCCAGAAGGCGGGCAGCAGAAAAAGGAAGAGGCCGCCTAGCCATGGGCTTGCAGAGCCCCGCTCACCTCCTGCAGAAGCCGGATCTTATTCTCCAAGAGCTCATAGACATGCTCTGTCTCCTGCTCTCGCTCCTCGAACTGGCGCCGGAGCTCGGCTTCATTATGGCTGTTGGGATTCTCCACATCAGTCCTACAACCACAGAGCGTTGGCCAGTCAGAGGCAGACACACAATTTAGCAAGTGGACCCACTTGGTAACCCACAGTCGCACTGATAAGAAAAATGAAGGGTTTTTCCCCTCTGCAGTTATCTGGGAAATGATCTCTTCCCCCTTTCCAGGTAATCTCTTAGGAATTCCCAGTTCTCGTTGCTTTGTCAAGCAGAACCTATCTGACCCCTACAGGCTTCCAGAGGAGGGCCTCTCACTTGGAAGGCGGGCAGTCCAGAGCTCAGCATTCACAGTCTCTGTCCTCCCACTCATTCATTTAGGCTGCTTTCCTTAGGGTGCTTTGCTAGTTTCCTGCCTTTCTGGCTCTTTGAATTTAACGCGGTCTTTCCCTTTAGCTTGCAGGGACAGGCTATGCATTTGGACAGCCACAGAAATGTTCTCCTCATTTCCAGCCAGTAATCCATAGGAGACTATCCTGAATACTATGCCGAGTTCTCCCCGTTCTCCCATGGTCCCGCAGAGAGCAGACATTTAATTAATGGAAGGTCAGGGTGTGGGCTCAGCTCTGCCTCTCTGATATCCCTAGCACTGGATGTCCAGGCACTAGCATGCAGCCGATAAGGTATCACCAGTTTATTTATAGCAAACAACAGCTGCCCTTGGATGTCTGAGGATTAGAAATTTTGAGGCAGTATCAGGTGCTAAATGGTCTTAATTCCGGTTTGATTTTATTTCTGTTTTAGGCCATTTGTTGAGAGATATGGACCATCGTTGCATTCTTACTGCAAAGAACTGTATTGAACTTTTATAAGATCACAAAATACTAAGACCAGTGGTACTTCAATATTTGACTCAAGAGCTTATATCCATGGGGCTTATCTAAAGATTATAGGATTCCTTGGTCAATAGTGGACACGACCCAGCACTGTCTCAGAGGCTACATGCACCTTGAGCTCCCTAGTCATCATATTGCGCCTTTTATGGGTATAGGAGTTTTGGTTATAAAAGAGACAAAAGTCAAGGTAATATCAAGACCCCCAGACGGGCAGATCTCAGGAATCATCACATTATACTTTGACTCTATTTTCGACCCCATGTTCCTTGATAAATGTACTACACAATCCTAACTATGTTCTTTAGAGCATGGAAGTTATAAATTTTCTGAGTAACTCCATTAGTCAGGAATGCCTGAATTAAGAGGCTACAGCTGTTATGAAGTCAGAAGACTCTTGAACTTCATGCCCCAAGATGTGGGTATGGCCACTGATTTGAGAAGATTTAAATTATACTTTGTTTTTTTCATTTCTTAAAAAAGAATAATGTCACCTAATTCAAAGTTAAGATGACACAAAAACTTTTTGAAAAGCATTACATAAATCTTGAAATTTATTACTAAATTGTTATCACAATCTTTTCTAAGATCTAAGAGCTCACTAATCCTTTGGTAAATATTAAATAATTTAACTTGGTTTTGAGTATTCTGGTCTTGCTGGATTATTATCCTAAATATCAAGAAATACTACAGACACAGAAATGCCAGATCAGATTGAGTGGATACTGATCCCAGGATAGAATCTGAAAGTATTTTCAGTAACAATTTTAGTAATACATGTCAGTTAACACTAAATTTTTTAAAACTATAAATTGTAAGAGTAACTATTTAACAATATGAAAGTATATAAAGAAAAAAATAAAGTCTCTTCCTCATCATGAACTCTGATCTCAGTCCCCCAGTGCACGCATGTTAAGGAGTTGAGCGTGTGATTCTCCAGGTTTCTTCTGTGCATAATCAAGCAAACACGTATACACGCAGAGAGAACTGCTTGTCTTTACTCAAAGGGGCTTATCACTCAGCATGTCTTCCTCTAACTTAATCAACAACTTTGCACCAGGACAATAATATAGAGCTAATTCATTCTTTCTGTTAACTGCACAATAGTCCACAGTACAGGCATACTACAATTTCTTCAACCCTTACCCTGTGGATGGATAGCTGTTTCTAGTTTTCTGCCATTAGAAACAATGACACAGTAAACATCCCTAGACATTTATCCTTTCACTCTGCTGCTTTTATTTATGAGAAATAGATTTCTTCTAGGGTTTTATTTGATCCAAGAAAATGCTCCTTTTCTACTTCAGTAGGTAGCACCACCTACCAAAAATGTCACAATTCATACTCTCGCCCGTAGCATATACGAGTACTCATTTTCCCCAGCATTATGGCAGCTCTCAATGATATTAACAGATGGAGTGATAATCTCTAATAAAGCTTATTTGCATTTGTCTCTTTCTGCTAAAAGTGGAAGCAGTCATTGTTTCCTGATTAGTTGACTGCTGTTTAATAGAGAGTATATAATCTCAGGTTTGGTGACCCTTCTAGTCAGTTTCTGGCAAGCTCCATGTGGCCCAAGGAAAATCTATTGCCTCAGTTCCTAAGCAGACATAGCATCAAATGCCAGAAACAAGGAATTTGGTGCCAAATCTATTGCTGTCAGATAGGTGAGCCAAACTGTGGAAAGGAAAGGAGCTCGTCTAGTACAAATAATAACTCAGGTGGTGCCTGTGGCTCAAAGGAGTAGGGCACCAGCTCCATATGCTCGAGGTGGCGGGTTCAAACCCAGAACCAGCCCCCCCCCCAAAAAAATACAAATAATAACTCACCATGTTTTATCCGGATGCTGTTTCTTGTCCTGGAGTTCTCGCTTCAGGCTCTCAACTTCAACCTTCAGCTCGATGTTCTGAAAAGCACACAGGCACTCCTGGTCATTAACTGCCACAGACCTTCTATCCAGATTCTCTCTGGCATCCTGCCTTGACCACAGCCTCTCATCTCAGCTCAGCTCACTTTGTGACCCCCAGCATAATGAGAATTCAGACGGATCAACAGCCCTGCCAGGGATGAATGAATTGCAGTGCTTCAGTCTTCTCTGAGTTACCTGCCTATTCTCCCAGCTTCTCACTGCCCCTGGTCATCAACACTGTTCCTTCTCTAGAGCAATGGAGGACACAGTATATGTTAAAACAAAACTTTCACTCACTGCCCTCCAAATCCCCACTACAGCCATTGCCACAACCACAGTGGAGAAATGAAAGGAGCAGAACCAGGCCAGTTAACACCGCCACAGCAGCCCTCACTGCCTGGGCGGGAAGAGGCAAGATGAGGAGGTGGGAGTCCTCTCAGACCCCCCAGTCTTCTGCCCCCATGGCAGTGCTCCTCCCCACGGAGCTCCTCCCCACGGAGCAGGAGGAGATATTTGGAAAAAATATAACCAATAAAGAGCACATATCTAACATGTATAAAGAACTCTTCCAGACAAGCTAATAGGAAAATTGATCAAAAGCCAGAACAGACCCCTTATAAAAATGGAGATTTAAATGAATAAGAAGCATGTGAACAAGTACTCAATGTCATTAGTCAGATAAATGCAAGATAAAAATATACCACTTTGAAATTAGAACTCCTGTGCACTGCTGTTGGTATTGTAAAATGGTGTAATCACTGTGGAAAAGAGTATGGTGGTTCCTCAAAAAGTTAAAAATAGAACTGTAATAGGGCAGTCCCACTTATACCCAAAAAACTGGAAGCAGAAACTTGACGAGATCTTTGCACACCCCTGTTCATCCAGCACTATTCACAATAGCCAAGAGGAGGGAGCAAACCAGATGCCCATTGACAGAAAAATGGATAAACAAAATGTGGTGTACACATACAGTGGAATATTATTCAGCCTCACAAAGAAGAAAATGCTGTCATATACTACAACATGGAAGAAGCTTAATGAACGGGAAGTACAGTGGGCCAGGTGTAGTGGCCCAGGCCTGTAATCCCAGAACTTTGGGAAGCTGAGGCTGGAAGATTACTTGAGGCCAGGAATTCCAAGATCAGCCTGGGCAACATAGTAAGACCCCAATCTCTAAAAAATAAAAAATTAGCCCTACACAGTGGCACACTTATACTCCCAGCTAACTCAGGAGGCTGAGGCAAGAGGATTGCTTGAGCCCGGGAGTTTGAGGCTTCAGTGAGCTATGATCACATTGTTGCACTCTAGCCTGGGTGAGAAAACAAGATGTTATGTCTAAAAAATAAATCAATCTTTTAAAAAAAAAAAGCCCCCCAAAGCAAAATTTTACTAATATAGGTCTGTCCCTGAAAACCAAATTACTATATATGAAATTATATGTTAAAATACCCAGGGATTTAATTATTTAAAGAAATTTGGTAGTGAACATTTTTGAAAATAATAATTTGTTTTCATCATAAAATTGGACTTTTATAAATCAAGTTTCCTTAAGGTGAGAGAGAACTCTTATGATAAATCTATGTAGGGAACAGTTAATTTTTATTGAGGCAAGGCAGCAAAAAGTAACATTTTGGCCAACAGAAAAAGGAAAAATTTTCCAAGTGGGTCTGGGGCACGTTAAGTGGCCAAGTGCATAGTGAGAAGTATAGAAAATAGTTTGCAACTATTTTGTGAGAAGACTAGTTAGTAATCAGTAGAGATCAAAGATTCATCAGGGAACTTTAAGCAAAATATCTTTATGATCAGGTCTATGTTGAAGAAGGAATTTGTGGTAGATGTGAAGAAGATGGGTGAGTCAAAGACTCAAAGTCATTTCAGAGGCAGACGCCACAGGGCATGCGACTTGTGAGATTAGGATTAGACTGCAAAGATGATGCTGAAATTTCTAGCATGTGAGTGGTGATGCGTTTTATTAACTAAAATGGGCAGGTTTGGGGGGGGGGAACATAAGGAGGAGTTCGTCAATGTTAGTTCAGGGATTACTTTATTTCAGCTTAGAGCTGAGTATTCAAAGATCAATTAGCCCCTTCCCTGATGAAGTCTATAACAATATAAGCAGAAGCTTATTTTAGAACAGAGGTTGACAAAGTGATTGAAGGTGCAGTGCCTGAAGTATGAAAACAAGTATTATGGGAACTACAACAGAGGGAAACTTTTTACTCCACGATCACCATATAACCACACCAATACATAGATTTCTAGGAGTTAAAGGGCATTGCCCACCATATTGGTGAAGACATTTCATAACCCATGTTTTCAATGCAGGTGGTTGAAGCAAGCACACTAATTGGGAAAAATAGAAACCTGGTTTAGATACTTAAGAGTTAATTAGAATTAAAGGATTTTACAGTTGGAAGGCAGTTAGACTCAAGGTAGTTTAGATCATATTGCTAGTAAGTTTCCAACTGACACATTGAAAAGAAAGCTTGTTCCCCTTATGAGGCAACAATAGGGACTTTTGACTCAGAATAGAACACAGGCTGAGGTCAGATGAGTTTAGAATATCTTAATTTCTTCAGGGATTACACAATAGCCTTTAAGAAGAAAATGATAGCCCTGTCTTTTCAGGACTTCCTTTAAAGGTATCATTTTATGAACACGAAATAGAGTCACCAGATTTAGCTAATAAAAATATGAGAATACCTGGTTCACTTTAAATTTCAGGTAAACAAAAATCATTTGTTTTATTACAGGCATATCCTTTGTAAAATTTGGGATGTATTTATACTAAAATATTATTTGTTGTTTATCTGAAATTCAAATGGAATTAAGCATCCTGTATTTTATCTGGCAATGCTAATACTAATACTTATGCTAACACAATGTAGCAATGCATATTTCAATTTTGTATGAGGAAAAGGCCCAAGATCCCTATGCCAATTCCATGGCCTGGCACTATGAGAAAGACTCATCTGCTCTAACTGATCAGTCAGTGAAATAGGAGATCTAATGAGCAGGTGCTATGTCCCTAGCTTTGTGCTCAACACTGAGAGGAATACAAATGTCATGATAAGAAATGGTCCCTAAGCTAGAGACCCATATGCATTAATTCATGTGGGAAATATAAAGACAGAGCAGTTTCCTTATCTAATATGGAGGTAACTATACCTTCAGCATTCTACTTTAGAGGGTTGTGAGGCATAAATAATGCATGTAAAGGACTTAGAACAGTGTTTTGAACATAGATATAATAATTACAATATGTCATTATCGTCATCAACAACTCCAGCAATATTGTCGTCTGGGGACAGCAATTTGTTTTCCCTGAGACCATAATATTTCAGGTTGGATTCAGTACTCAGAATATGATGCTGAGAAGGAGGACTCCTAACTTTATTTTTGCCACCAATTGGCAAGAGAAGAAAATGGAGGATATATATTATGTAAGTTCTATCTGCTCTAAATCTTAGATAAGAAAATGAAGTCAATACTTGCCCAAAGATTTACAGATCTGAAGACTTTAACATATATCTGTTCCAGGCATTTCATTTTAAAGAAAGGGACATTGGAACCCAGAAGGTTGCCTCTAAGGCAGAAGCAATACCTGGAACCAGCACTCCACTTTTGCATTAACATTTGACCCAGAAAGACCAGCTCAGGAAACACTGCCTGGTTTTGGCTGATGCTTCACTGAGTTAGTCTTGAAAGAAGTGTGGGGGAAAGTGTGGTGTTAACAGCCTGGGCCCTGAAGGCAAGAAGAGGGCTTGGTGGGTGGCGCCTGTGGCTCAAAGTAGTAGGGCGCCGGCCCCATATACCGGAGGTGGTGGGTTCAAACCCAGCCCCAGCCAAAAACTGCAAAAATAAATAAATAAATGAAAAAGAAGAGGGCTTGGCAAATCTCCTGTCCTCTCTGAAAGCCTCAATCTCCTGTGTATCCAGGGAATTATAATGATACAAATCTCCTAAAGAGGTTAAGGAGACTCAATAAAATAATGCTTACAAAAAAGCACATTGCATGGTATTTGTAAAGCAGTAAGCATTCAAAAAATGTTTGAATGCTTTTATAGTTAACCATAAAAACTACGAAAGCACAACAGGCCAGCTAAGGTGGCTCACACCTATAGTTCCAGCACCCTGGGAGGTTGAGGTGGAAGGATTGCTTGAGGACTGAAGTTCAGGACTAGCCTGGACAACATTGTTAGCCAGTCATGGTGGCTTGCATCGATAGTCCCAGCTACTTGGGAGGCTAAGCCTGAGAATTGCTTAGCTTGAGCCCAGGAGTTTGAGGTCACAGTAAGCTATAATCATGCCACTGCCTTCCAGCATGGATGACAGAGCAAGCCCCCGTGTCTAAAAAAAGGAAAAGACAAAACAACAACAATTTACCTTCTTTGACTAGGATGGCTGAGGTTTTCAGGCATACTCATGTATGAAACTAACATTATGTCACAGAAAGGATGGAAAAATATTATAGTAAAGGTGGGCTATGGTAGTCACTCGCACACAACACACACCCAGCCTGAACCGTTTTCCCTTTAGCTTCCTCCTTTTATGTAGAAAAGCGAAATGAAAAAGAGGGAAAGAATAAAAAGAGGAAAGACAAAAACTAGAATGACTTCCCATGCTTCCCTATTTTGTCTATTCAAATAGATAATAATGTTTATGAATTTTGCACAGAAATGTTAAAATGGTTTTATCCCCACAAGATGAGGTTGTAAATTTTATGATCAATTATTCTAGTGGACCAAAATAATTTAATTACACAGGTGCTACAAAATCTTACCACACAAAATACAAGCACAAATCAATTTACAGGGCCCCAGCCTAATCCTTTTGCAACTTCTTTCTGTGAGAAAAATCACTGCATAGCTTGTCACATCCATCCGTTCTCCATTAGTAAATGTGTATGTGTAAATTATTAAATTCCAAGTGCAGCCAGAGAGGATCCTAAATAAACTGCATTGTTCATTTCATCAACAGAGCTCCTCAGCTCTTTG